CACACCTATTTGAGACTCTAAGTATATTTCTAGACCCGTTCGAGGATGAACGTTTGTTTAAGATGGGGAGGATGTAACGACCCGGCCGGTCGTTTTGAGAGTTATACCCCGTATCCCCCATTTCAGCTTCTTTCTGTTTCATCTATATTATGATATGTCGGGTTAGTTGCTTCGGGTCCGAAGTGGTTTCGGAGTAAATTGAGACACTTAGTCTCTTTATTAGAAGCTTAAGTTGGAAAAGTTAACCGGATGTTGACTTATGTGTAAACGATCTAGGATTTGAATTTTTATGGTTCTGTTAGCTCCGTTAGGTGATTTTGGACTTAGGAGCGCACTCGGAATGTGATTTGGAGGTCCATAGTGGAGATAGGCTTGAATTGCGAAAATTGAAAATTTGGCGATTTTGGTCGACAGTGGAAAATTTGATATCAGGGTCGGAATGGATTTCCGGAAGTTGGAGTAGGTCTGTGGTGTCAATTGTGGTATGTGTGTAAAATTTGAGGTCATTCGGGGGTGTGTTGATAGGTTTCGGCATCATTTGCGAAATTTGGAACTTTTGAAGTTCTTAGGCTTGAATTCGAGGGTAATTTGGTGTTTTGATGTTGTTTTGAGTGATTCGAAGGTTTGACTAAGTTTGCATGGGGTTATATGACTTGTTGGCATATTTAGATGAGATCCCGGGGGCCTCGGGTGTGTTTCGAATGCTTAACAGTTGAGTTTTTGGACTTTAAAGATTGCTGAAGACTTATGATATTTGGTAGATTTGCGTAGGCCGCAGGTGCTTACTCGCACGTGCAGAGGAAGGAGCGTAGAAGCGGGAGTTGAGGAGATTGCCGGGGTTCGTAGGTGCGAGGGTGTTTCCGTATCTGTGAGCCCGCAGATGCGCTTGAAGCTCCACAGATGCGAAAAATGAGTTGGAGTGGAGGATCGCAGAACCGGACTTTTGTCTGTAGGTGCACACACGCAGGCACGACCACTTGCACGTAGATGCAGACCTAGCACTTTTAGTCATTCCCGCACCTATAATGGAATTTCCGCAGGTGCGGTATCGCAGATGCGACTGAAGGTTCGCAGGTGCGGAAGAACTGGACAGAAAAGTGGGATTTCGAGGGTTTGATTCCCATTTCGATTTTGGGACTTTGAGAGCTCGGTGTGAGGCGATAATTCGAGATTATGGGGTAAGTAATTCTAACTCGGATTGGACTATATTCCATGAATCTATTGCTATTTTCATCATCTAATTAGAGATTTGATTTGTAAATTTGGGGGAAAATGGAGGAAACTTTATAGGCTTAAATTTTGAGTTTTGGAAGGAGATTTGAGGTTGGATTCGAGTAATTCTTGTATGGTTGGGCTCGTGAGTTGATGGGTGTTCATATTTTGTGACTTTTGTCAGATTTCAAGACGTGGGCCAGGGGGCGGGTTTTAGTCGATTTTAGATTTTGGCTCTAATTTAGTAGTTTTCTTGTGGGATTGATCCCTTTAGCCTTTATTAATTGTGTTGTATTATTTGTGGCTAGATTCAGGACGTTTGGAGGCCGATTTGAGAGGCAAAGGCATCACGGAGTAGGATTTTTGCTCTGATTGAGGTAAGTAACACTCTTAAATCTGGTTTTGAGGGTGTGAAATCCCGAGAATTTGTATGATGTGAATACTTGGAGGTAACGCACACGCTAGGTGACGGGTGTGTGTGCGTGCACCGTGAGGGATTGTGACTTGGTCAGTCCCGTGAGACTGTAAAGTGAAATAGCCATTGTTATTACTTGTTTTTTTCCTTGTCTTGAGCAATTGACTACCTTTCATGCTAGAAGCCATGCTGAGGCCATATGATATCATTGTTGGGACTCGCAACGTCGAATACTTGTTGAATTATTTGCTAATTACTGTCTTGTACTCAGTCACAGTCTTACTTGTGTGTTATATCTCCACCCCCTCTCATTTCTGGTTGATACTTGTTGTATTCTCTGTTTGGGCTAATTATTATGATATTCTGCGAGCTCGAGGGGCTGGAGAGGCTACCGACTGAGATAGGGCCAGAGTGCCGGACTGAGAGTTATGTGAGATATATTGGATCGGGCTGCACGCCGTAGAAATATTGGATCAATTTGCACGCCGCAACAAGCCTTCGGGCAATATATCGGATCAGATTGCACGCCGCAACAATATATGGATCGGGATGCACGCCGCAGCAATATAGCGCTTGGGATGTAGGAGCCCCTACGGAGTCTGTATACCCCCAGTGAGCGCAGGTACCTTTGATTGTGAGTATTGAGGCTGAAAGCCGAGTTATTAAGCTATTGAGATAGATGAGTGACAGTAGACCTGTGAGGCTATATTTGCTCTTATTTGTTGTTGCACTTCATTGCTAATTGTTGTTGTTGTGAAATTTTCTAGAGGGCTTATATTGTTGTACCTGAGCTCGAAATGTTTTGATTTAAAACACAGGGTTGAAAGCATGCCTATTTTTCTTGCTAAAATTACTGAAATGAATTGCATTTGTGTAGCTCGTCACTGCTTCTCCGTTCCTCATTTAATTCTGTTACTTACTGAGTTGGAAGTACTCACGTTTCTACCTGTATTGAGTTGCGTTCGCAGACCTTGTGCTTCTTCCTTATTATCTTTCCTTCTCTGTATTGATATATAGACGCAGACTATTGTAGACACTGTCTTTTAGATTGAGTGTCTAGTTGCTCATGACTTAGTGACACCCCGATGTCGAGCTATTTTTCTGCACTTGTATTTTATTTGGGTTTTACCCCGTATTTATGAGAAACTCTGGTTATTTTAAATGTATTAATTCATTTCTGTTCACTTTTGAAAGTGTTTTGGAAAGGTCGGCTTGCCTAGTACCATGATAGGCGCCATCACGACAGGTTAGGTTTTTGGTCGTGACAATAGATGCATCTATGGATCGCGTCGCACGTCCCTCGGTAGTGTACACAACACTCTGGATCGGGTCGTACGACCTCGGCAGAAATCGTGCCTAATAATAATTATTATACGATACCTTGATATTTTAATAGCAGCTTGTGAAGTTAAATAAATAAATTGGAAATTATCGCATTTGAAGGAATTTAATTATTTCTGCTAGTTAAAGAAAATTATAGTTAATTCTATAAATCATGCTGATTTAAATATTTCTGTTTCTATTTTATTCGTTATTATTGACCCTTAGTGACTGTCAAAGTCGACTTCTCGTCTCTACCTCTTCGAGATTAGGCTTGATACTTACTGGGTATACGTTGTTTACGTACTCATGCTACAGTTGCTGCACTTTTTGTGCAGGGCCCGAGACAGGTGCTATAGTTGGACCTATCGGCGTGCACCCACGATATCCAGAGGCTTAGTGGTGAGCTGCCCTTCTGAGCCCTTCTGCAGCAACAGTCTGTTCCTGAAATTTTTATTCTGTCTACTTTATTTCAGACAGTATTTGGAAATTTTTGTATAATCTACTATATGCTTATACACTTGTGACACCAGGTCTTGGCACACACATTGGTAGAATTAGGATTTGATTATTGTTCTTAGTTATTTTAATTACCAGATCTTTCCATATTATTTTAATTCTTGCAATTAAGAAGAGTTTAATTACTCGGTTAATTTTAAAGAATTGATTATATGCTTAAATTACTAGTTGGCTTGCCTAGTTATAGTGTTGGGCAGCATCATGACCTATAGATGAAATTGGGTCGTGACAACATGGTATCAGAGCATTAAGTTCACGTAGGTCTCACAAGTTATGAGCAAACCTAATAGAGTCTTGCGGATCGGTACGAAAATGTCAGTACTTATCTTCCAGAGGCTATAGGGTGTTAGGAAACCACCTTTCTTCATATTCCATCGTGCAATTGATGTAGCACTAAATATCTTTCTCTGATTCTCTCACAGATAGTGAGAACGTGCTCCAACGAGGCTCTAGACTAGGGAAGAGCTACTCCCCCAGTTGTTAAAAGCCGAGGGAGGGCTCCAACCCGTGGTAGGGGACGAGGACGTCCCATGACTGTTCGAGTTATGCATCCTGTGGGTCCAGTAAAGAATCTCATTGTTGAGGAACATGGTGAGATGCTTGTGTCAGAGCCAGCTCCGGTGAATTTCACGTCTGCACCAGGATTCCAGGATGTCATGGGTCGTATGCTGCGGTTAATGGACAATATGACCCAGGCCGGTTTATTTCCGGCAGACCCATTCACATCCCAGGCGGGTGGGGGAGCACAGACTCCGACCGCACAGGCTAATGAGTAGGCAGTTGTTGTATATCAGGCTCACGACCTGTAGGTGAAATTAGAGTCAATAGATAATTAAAGAGACTACAATGTATTTAGTAGAATGGGAAAAGGAAGGAAANAGTGATTTGATGTAAACGTTGAAACATGCCATAATCTTGCGAGATAGCTCGAATATTACCAAAAGTAGGAAAATAACAAAAAAAGAATATAAAGAAGTAATGGTAAACTGAAGTAGGAATATTGAAACATGTCCTTATCTTCCGCGACAGCTCGAATATTACTAAAAATTAAAAATATCTAAAAAGAAAATATAAATAAAAATATGTCATAATCTTCAGCGACAACTCGAAAATTACCGAAAATTCGAAATTTAAAAAGATAATATAAATAAAAATAATGGTAAACTAAACTAGGATACTTATTCATCCATTTGCAAATTAAGAGTTGTTATTAAGAGAGTATCAAATATTAATAATCTTATGTAGCAAATCACCACGGCCTAGGCTGAAAATTGACTTGACCATTACAATATTGTAGAGGTAAATTTTGAAAATCTTTTGAAAAATGGAGAGTACAGTCACCACTATTATTAAGTATATAAATTACATGTGAACACTACAAAAATGAACTGGATTCATCTGTATATACTACCAAAACTGAAAAACTAAAGATATTGGAAAAACTTTATAAATACTAGGCTTCTACATTACAAAGTTCATATCACATAGTAACTCTTAGTAATAAATACTAGTTATATCATAATTATCTTTGAGAATGAGTACTAGACTGATTAAAGGTCGCAAAAGTGTTTGTCTCGCGAAGATAGAAAATAAGAATAATCGACAAGTGTCTTTCTCAAAACGCCGAAATAGTGTCTTTAAGAAAGCAAACGAGCTTGCCGTTATGACGTGTGCTGAAGTTGGCATCATCGTGTTTCCACCAGGTAATTACAAGCCTAGTTACATTTTTTTGGTCATCTATACATACATGATATATCATCAACAAATATAACTTTTTAAGCATTAATGTACATTAAACATGCAAATCCAAGATCTTGAACATAATAATTAATGTCACGTATCTTTAAAGCATCATAAAAAATTACTTGGCATGGGAGGTGTTATAACGCTAGATTAACTGATTTGTCTTCTTTTGCCCTATTTTGTATAACTGACTTCTCTCCTCTTGCTCTATAGGTAACAAGCCTTACTTTTTTGGTCATCCAAATGTAAATGAAACCATCCACAAATATGTTTGCGAAGAAAGGTCTCCATCACCATCATCACAAGGCATTGATGACAAGCATGTCCAGATATTCCGAAAAGCCAATTCTATAACACTTAACACACAACTCAATACTCTGCAAGATCAGCTGGATTTTGCATTAAACTTGAAAAGCAAACTCAAGGAAAAAAAATAAGAATTTGGAGAGCCAACAAGAGTTGTTCAGGGGTCCTATAGAGAAGATGAACTACACGGAGGCTTCAATGTTGAAAGAGGGATTGGAAGATTTGCTCTTGAAGGTGAAGAACTATGGCACTAAACGTGGTTATGGTTACGAAAATGCAAAGTGGAAGGCTGAATAAAAGCTACTGCTAGTTTTTATAAATAATAGTTCATGTTATTTATTTTTAAAAGTGCGCAACCATAAAAGTTATTGTCGTATGACTAGGATATCACGGGTATAAACCATAGAAATAATATTTTGCAAAAATGCAAAGTAAAGCTATCTACAACAGACCAACATGGTCATGGTTTGCCTCTTCCCCGAACGTATCCTATACATAGCAGGAGTTTAGTGCAGGGGTTGTTCTAGTTAATCATTTTGGGGGG